ATCAGAGCAGATCATGGTGGTGCACACCTTCTATCCCAGCACTCGGGAGGCAGAGGCCGGCCGAACCCTGTGAGTTCCGGGACAGCCAGGGATATATAGTGAGACCTTGTTTCAAAAAACCAAACTAAATAATAAGTAAAAATAAAAAAAAATTAGCCGTCACGTCTTCTGTTGTGTGAATATATCTGTCTGAAAGAGGTGCAGGAGGCCTCAGGTTAAAGTCCACTGTCATGTTTTGGAAAAGAAGAAAAAAGACGGACATAGCCCTGGATGACTCAGACCAGGTACTTTTCATACCTCTTCCCCCTCCACAAAGCACTCTGTGTCCCTGAGCCCCTCAAGAAGGAACTTTGAAGCCACAGCGCCCCTTCTTCTCAACACTGCTGACCCTTGAATAAACTACTACTAATTTTTGTCTCCTGATATTGGCCTTGGTGTGGTAGGAAGTCAGGTTTCTAATTCCAGAATAATAGATTTCATTAACCAAGGTCTCTCTCTGCTGTTCCTGTGACTTCTTGTCTCTGTCTGTTTTAATGCCCCCACCAGTACTAGGCATTGTACCTAGAGCCTGAATAAGCTTTGTTACTTAGTCACCCAGCTCCTCACTGATAAACTCTAGACAAGCACTCTATCACTGAGTCATGCTTGGGCCCCTCACTGGTAAATTTTAGATAAGTGCTTTTCCACTAAGCCACACCTCTAACTTCTCGCTGCGGAATTCTAGGCAGGGGCTCTACCACTGAGCCATACTCCAGCCTTTCACTGCTGGCCTTTAGCATGTACTTTGCCACTGAGCCACACCCCAACCCCTCACTGGGGGATTCTAGACAGGGACTTTACCAGTGAGCCCCAGCCCCTTACTGGGGGATTCTAGGTAGGAACTAGACCTTCCTAATGCTGCGACCTCTTGATATAGTTCCTCACATGGTGACTCCCAGTCATAAAATTGTTCTCATTACTGCTTCATACCTGTAATTTTGCTATTGTTATAGATCATAATGTAAATATCTGATATACAGATGGTTTTACGTGTACCTGTGAATTAGTCGTTCGACCCCCAGATTGAGAATCACTGCCATTACAGACGTTTGTTTCTCCTTTTTTAATTCAGTCGAGTCAGGCACGAATCTATTGTCAAGGTATTTATTAGGAAATGATACAAAAAGCCCAGGAAAGGGTACATTACAGAGTAGGTTCTGTGGGTATAAGACTGCATTTCCCATTTGCCACGTCATTCTTTCCTCAAAGACAGGTTTAAGATAGGAGGGTAAAGGACCAATATGCCAGGCCCAGGGGTTAGGAAAGAGAATATGGTAGAGACCCTGATGGGGGCCCACGACAGTGAAACCAGCTGGGAGAGGGACAGAGCAGTCCCTGGGAGCGGTATTCAGCGAACCTGCACACATAACTGGAAAGGCCTTGGCAAATTGCCCAGCCCTGAGCTAAGCGGGGTCAGGTCGATGTCCTCAGGCTCCACCAGCGGTTGCAAGGTGAAGTTCTGCAGAATGGAGGTGAGGAATATGAAAAGCTCCATGCGCGCCAGAGGTTCCCCCAGACACAGTCGGCGTCCTGCGTGGGTGGGAGGGCCAAGAGCAAAGGTGAAGTAGAGTGTGGGGCTGTGCTCGCATATGCTCAGAGGAAAATATGTGGGTTTGAAGATAACGGCTGGGAATATCACCGACAAAGTCATCAATGTTTTGGGGGAAATGAAGCCGAAGTGGCTGCCAATACGAGTGCAGCTGGTTGGGTTCAAATCCCGTATTTAAAAGTTCCCACAGCTGGGACACAGCTGGGGTGCAATCAATCTGGTATCATCTGGCTATGGAGTCCAACTCTCAGCCGCTGCCCCTTCCCAGAGGCAGCGGGGCACACAAAAGGCGACAGGGTAACTTATCTGATTACCTCATTTGGTCCTCTTTGCTGAGTAAATAGGAGTCCTGCCCTCTTTCCCCTTCCCTGCTCCCTTCCTCCTCCCCTGCTGCCAGCGGGCAAGGTAGAGTAAGGAACAGCAGAGCCAGGCTCGCCACCTAGTGGAGAGTCTGAAAATCTTCTTAAATTAATGGGCTCTCACTTGGGGGTTACAGGAGCCAAACTGGAAAAGGGGAATCTCTGTAAGGAAAGCTAAGAATGGGATGGGATCGAGAGGGCTTTCTGAGTCGGGTTAGGAGTATGGTTCAAAAGAGCGACTCCATCCTTACCAGCCGAAAACGGCATGAAGGCAGGGCTCTTCTTGAAGGATTGATTGGCATCCAGAAAATGCTCAGGATTGAACTCCTGAGGCGTCTTGAATTGTTCGGAGTCATAGTGCACGGTGTTAAGAAGCGTGATGACATCTGTGCCCTGTGTGGATGAGGAGGCAGAGTCAATGCAGACCTCCTGAGGATTTTACTATTTTTATTTTATGTGTCTGAGTGTTTGCCTGCATGGAGATACGTGTGCAACGTGGGTGCAAGTGCTAAGGAGGTCAGGAGAGAGAGGCTGGTCTCCTGGAACTGGGACTGAAGGTTGTGATGTGGATGCTGGGAATCCAATCCGCATCCCCCGCATCCTCTGGAAAAGCAGCCAGTACTCTTAAAACTGCTAAGACAGCTCTCCATTCTGGAAGAGGGCTGTTCTGTCTCCTTCAAACTCAGATTTCCATGCTGCAAAGATGGAACTTCTAGGGGCTTGATAAGGAGGCCAGGGTGGACACAGACTCCATCCAGGGTTCCTAGAGAGAGGTGCTGATAGCTGCTGTTGAGGTCTAAGAAACCTTTGGCCCTGAGCTCTGAAGGGACAGATGTAGGGTTTCTGAGGGAGGGGTCCTCCAAGAATGGTGGTTTGGCCTCAGAAGATAGATGTTTAGATGAAGTCCCAGGCCCTGGTGATTCTGGGGAGGGTCCAAGGTAGGGCTTTGAGATAGGGAAGGAGTATGGAGTTCTAATCTTTTCTGGTGTGAGAAGAGGTTCTGGGAAAGGACTGTGTTTCTAAGAACCTGAAATGGCTAAAGCGGCCAATGCTTCCAATCCCAGCACACAGGAGGTAGAGGCAGGACGATCCGGAGTTCAGGTTCACTCTTAGTCACATAGGGAGTTTGAGGCCAATCTGGGCTACAAGAGACTTCTGCCTCTAAATGTTCAAAACAGGGCTGAGGAGATGGCTCCGGTGTTAAGGGTACAGGCTGCTCTTGAAGAGGACCTGGGTTTGATTCCCAGCTCCCACATGGTGGTGCCCAGCCATATGTAACTCCAACTCCAGAGAACACAACGCCCTCTTCTGGCCTCCTTGGGCAGTGCATGCATTTGATGCACAGACATACTTTCCAAATAAAGCACCCAGCCATATACATAAAAAATCAAATGAAAAATTGGAAAAAATGTTCAAAAAATTTTAGAAACAAGCAACTTCCCATGTCTGCAGCTTTACTCTGGGTGCTGATTGCTAAGGTTAAGGGTATCCCTTAGCCAATTACAAGATCCTGAAATACCTATTCCTAGGTTACCCTTGCACACCTTGGGTATCAGGAAGCCACGGAAATGCGTGTCCCGTATGACGCGGTGAGGCAGGTTCATGGGGATGACGTCTGCGAAGCGCTGTACTTCATGGATCACTGCGTCTGTGTAAGGCATGTTCACGCGGTCCTCCAGCGATGGCGTCCGGGCACGACCCACCACGCGGTCAATCTCCTCCTGTATGCGGGCTGGAGGTGAAAGAGAAAGGGAGTGGAGGATGGTTCCTGAGGAGCATTGGGACTGGAACAGATTTGCACCAGTGGACAGGAAAGGCTCAAGTCAAAGCTTCCCTAGCTCCATGCTGTAGCCTATAATCATTGCATGGGGGAAACTGAGGCAGGAAGATAGCTGCGAGTTCTGGCTAGTCTGGGTTTCCAAGCGTTCGTTTTTAATGAGAGGGCAAACGAGGGTCCTTGCAAGGTTTCTGTGCATGGGTTATATAGGTGGGCTTCAGGGCTACTTGGATCCTAGGATCCTCTTTTGAGGCTTTTGGACCCAGTTGGGGGGGGCTGGGCAGGGGAAGGCTAGAGATCTCCCACAAAGCCAGGGAGACACCAGGAGGAGGAGCCTGGAGGAGGCGGTTCACATGTGTTAGAGGTCATGTTATGCAGGAGAGGTCAGTGTCCTCAGCAGACCTTGTGGCTGGGTCTTAGGGATGGGGTTGAGAGGACGAGAGCAGGATTCAGAGGCCTGACAGTCACGTGCGTTGTGGGCGGGGCCCAAACTACACAGGCCTGATTTGAAAGAGGATTACCATGCAGGGTCTGAACCCTGAGGATCATCCTGGCATGAGCCTCTCAGTGGGTTTGTCTTGTATAAGAGGGTGCATTAGCAGAAGGCTCTAATAACCCTCGGGACAGGGAGAGTGTTGAGCGGCCCTTTGATATCCCTGTACCTTGTATTTTGGGATACTTCATGAGAATAAGGAAGGCATGGCGCATCGTGGTGCCCACGGTCTCTGTGCCACCGAACAGCAGATTGTGCGTGGTCATCAACAGGGTATCCATTTGGAAGTGGCTCAGTGGGTCTTTCTTCTCCTGTGGGGTCGAAAGGGGCCATGAGCCAGGGCCTGGGGGAAGCCTATACTTTGGAACCTGTGTGACCAACTCCAATACTACCGCTAAGAGGCGTCAGTTCTGTCCCTCTCTTGAGCTGACTTTTCTTCCTGGGAGCAGAGGAGTGTGCGGTGTGTACAAGGAGAGATAAAAAGGGGCAAGTCCCTTGGTGAACACCTTGGCAAACTACAACAGCTTAATGATTTGTTAATTGGCAGTGGCTCTGGGCAGCAGTCCAGCAGGTACCACATCTTCTCCTCAGGAAATAAGTTTCCAGACTCTGTTCAAGCTGCGATCCCTGTAAGTTTAAGGCCCCGGGGCAGCAGGAGGGGTTCGGATTTTGATATTGTAGCTACCTGTGCCATCTTTGTGAGGAAGCAATCAATGAAGTCTCGGGGAGAGTTGGGATCCAGAGAGGCCTGGTGTTCACGGACGCTGCGGGCGATGAGCTCTTTCATGCCTCTAAAGTTCCGGAACATGCGTCTGTGGGGCCCAGGCAACCAGTCCAGGAGACTTGGGAAGATGTTGTATAACTGGGGGAAGGAGCAGAGTTGGCAGGACTTCGGTAAGTAAGGCACTCAACAGGGTATGTGATTGGGGGCTCATGGGCTAAGTAGGGTCGTCAGATCAAATAGGCTTTGCCCAGGTCTTGGCAGGGGCTGCCAAGTTCTGCAAGGGTGGAAAGAGAGTGGGAGGGAGGGGGCGGGGTGGAGGAGGGCGACTGAACAGCTGGGGGCGGGGTAATAAAGTGGGGCGGAGCAGGCCAGTTACATCTCTTCTCTGTTGCTTTTACTTAGATATTTTTCTTCATCACTGGCTGGTGGGGTTCTCTTTACTAAGTCCAGGTTGACCTGGAACTCGTGACAATCCTTCAGCCTCAGTCTCCTTAGTGTTGAGATGATAGGCTTATTTCTTCTCTCCAGTCCCTGCAGCTTCTTTCTCCATGGTTGGACCCTGTGGGAACCCCCTACCCGCATCTGGTTGACCTCAGAGTACTGACCTCGCCCCAGGGGCTGCTCATTATCTGGAAGTTGTCGTTGATGAATCGGATAATGGTGAGCAGACGCTCATCGTCATATTCAAATCGATTTCCAAAGATAACGGAGCAGATAATGTTGGACACTGACCGGCTCAGGATAAACACGGGGTCGAAGGGCTTGCCTGAGGTGGATAGGCGGAATGGGTCAGTGTCCAGCTTTGGCAGGATAACATTGGCAGCAGCCAAACCAAATGCTGTCACAAGTCCCATTAACTCAGCATCCACCCACCCATGACACTGTATCTCTCAGTCCAGAACACACACATGTGGCCACTCAGCGTGCAATAAGACAACACTCCCAAAGTATTTGACAATGGCACCCACAACACAGAACTCACCTTATCCCAAGGAACAAGAATTCTAATAACATAAGCACAGGTTGTTCTTGGACACGTTACACCACCCACAATACAGGGTGTGCCAACATTAGGTATCACAATAAACACTCGCTTACAAAACCACCTTAAGTACAGCCAAAGAGCCTGCAATGGCAGCAAGCACCTGTTTCCCCAGGTGAGAGGGTGAGGCAGGAGGATGGCTGCAACTCTAAGTTCAGCCTGGGCTATAGCTCAAATGGTGTCAAAACCAGACAACTGGGGAGAGTTGTCTCGGGGAGGCTACATCAGGCTGCTTGCCTATAACTGCCTCCAGAGTGTCTAAGACTTCCTTTTGGCCTTTGTGGGCACCCTCGGTTGGCACACATTCTCACAAATACATGTACACATAAATAAAAAGAAATTAAGAAATTAAATTAAAAAGAAAATAGGTATTTGGTTACAATGTTTAGATCTACAATTTCAGGTCCTGGGAGGTGGGGACAGGAATCAGCTGCCTAGTGAGTTTGAGGCCACCTTGGACCTCGTCCCCACGAAAGAAACAAAAACAAAACACCTCTAACCAACCAGACAAACCCAACATGTGCCAGCACAGTCAGCACACAAACATCCCAAGACACAGTCACAGTGTGCTGCCTTGTGATGTCAGCACAGAGCTCCATCCTCCTGCCTCACAGCATGTAACAGTAATTCACAGCAGCTCACTGGATAGTACAGAACACACTCTGACATCCTAGACACATATCTAGGCCACAGAAGAGGTGACACACAGTAGGTCACCATCAGCGATCAGCAGGCTACACAGTGCAGTCTGACACATAAGGGCTGAAGACAACCTTACTTCAGTCTATACCACAAACATACAGTTTAACCTCTAGCTAACAGCCAAATATCCTACAGGATACAATAAGAGCAACAAATGCTAGGTCAGGCGTTACAGCTGTAATTCCAGCACTTGGGAAAGCTGAGGCAGGAGGTTCATTATGAGTTCCATGCCAGCCTGGGCTACAGAGTTTCTGTTTTGAAAATGAACAAATAAACAAACCCAACATTTCAACACAGTGTCTAAGACATAAAAACACAGTCTGGAAAGCAAGATCTGAAGGTAGCCTTTGACTCTGCTTTGATTCTGGTGTGGACTCTGAAGTCTTTCCTGTCTCTAAACCTCAGTTCTCATCTGTATAACGGGCTTGGTGCCAGTCCCCTCCTCATGGAGCTGTTATGCAGAGTCAGGGAATGCGTTACTGGGAAATCTATAGCCGAGGCCTGATCCATCTCTGGGTCCACTACTGTGGTAGGCTGAATAATGGACACCACAGGTGTCCATATCCCCACCCCAAGAACCTTACTTTAGGTGTGATGTTATTAAGAGTTTTGTAATAGGGGCTGGGGAAATGGCTCAGTGGCTAGTAATATGTATTGCTCTTGCAGAGGACTTGAGTTCAGTTCCTAGTACCTACGCTGGGCAGCACACGATGCCTCTGGCCTCTTCAGGCAGCTGAGTTTATGTGCACATACCTCCCCCAGACACATGATGAAAAAGATCATACAAATCTCGAAAATTTATTTTGTAATAGCAAAATTATCCTAAATTACCTGGGTGAATCTCAGGAAGGTCCTTATAAAGAAAAGTTAAGTGGGCATAAAACAAAACTAGGTGGTGGTGGCACATGCCTTTAATCCCTGCACTCAGAGGCAGAGGCAGGCGGATCTCTGAGTTCAAGGCCAGCCTGCTCTACAGAGTGAGCTCAAGGACAGCTAGGGATACACAGAGAAAAATCTGTCTTGAAAATAAAAAGTATTTTGGGGAAAAGAGGAGGAAGAATAAGAATAAAAATAAGGAGAGAGAGAGAGAAAGAGAGAAAGAAAGAGAGAAGGAAAGGAGAAGAAGAGGGAGAGAGCAAGAGAGTCCTACTGATCCACTGTTTACTTCAGACCCATAGACCCGTATGAGAGAATGAATCTGGCTGGGCATGGCATCTCACACCTTTAATCCAAGAACATGGGAGATTGAGGCAGGAGAACCGTTAAGAGTCTGAAGCGAGCCCGTGTTACAGAGTGACAACCTAGCTAACAGAAACAGGAAAACAAAGAATTGGTGTTGTACTAAGCCACTACTACATTTGTAGAAATTTAAAAGAGTTAAAATTTAATGTATTTTTTGTGTGATGACTTGCAAATGGAGGCCAGAGAGCATGCTCTCTCCTTCCACCATGTGGGCTTTGGGGGTTGAACTCATGCTGCCAGGCTTGGCAGTGAGGGCCTATGTCTGTTGAGCCATCTCACTGTCTCCATCGTGGTGATAGGTCAGAGAATCAAGAAACCAGTACGAGCAGCTATGAGTTCACTTACATCACATGCAAACCCTTTATCATCATATGTTATATTATCATTATTATTTTTTCCAAGCCAGTAAGATTTGGAGAGCAGGGAAGAAGGTTGCTATTTTAGCATTTCACATTTTACTTTCTTCTGTAAAATGGAGCAGATAAGGAGACTTCATCGGCTTATATAGTTTTTTTTTCCTCCCTCAGCATCTTGCTGTGCAGTGAAGAATGGCTCTGAATTCATGATCCTCCTGTCTCAGCCTTCTGAGTACTAATGAATTTTCAAAGAGAGTTCCTGGAGCTGCAGGTGACTGATTTTGTTTGAACTTTGTAGTGCTGAGATGGAACTGAGGTCTTGTGCACACTAGGCAAGTACTTCATCCCTGTCCCAAGTCCCCAGACTCTTATTGGGGGATTCTAGGCAGGTGCTCTCACACTGAGCCACACCCCAGCCCCTCACTGGGGGATTCTAGGCAGGTGCTTTCACACTGAGCCACACCCCCAGCCCCTCACTGGGGGATTCAAGGCAGGGGCTCCACCACTGAGCCGATCCGCAGTTCTGTGGTGGTAGTGTTTTCTTTCTTTAAAGTTTTTTCTTTTATAAAGTAATATAACTAAGAAATAGAAGGGTGAACCACATGAAGTCAATAGGAAACGCCCAAAGATGGATTGTTCTGGTGGGATGTCTGAAAAATAGAAAGTACCTGCTACATATGAACGTATGCTAGGGGCTTTTCAGAGTCTAGGGTGAATTAATATTTATGGCTGCTATTCTGAAATTAAAACTGAAGTAATTATAAACCCCACGAGAAATAAAATGGTAAAACCAATATATATATATATATACATACATACGTATATGTGTATTTAAGTTTTAGTTATGTGTTGTGTGTGTATCTCTCAGTGTATGTGCACATGTGTGCTGATATCCATGCAAGTCAGAGGGGATGCAGGATCCTTTGGAGCTGGAAGATGCAAACTACCTCGTGGGTGATGGGAACCGAACTCAAGTCCTCTGCAAGAGCAGCGGGTGCTCTTAATCTCTGGACCATCACTCCAGCACACTTGCCCCTCACCCTCTGCCATTTTTTTAAATTTTTTTTGAGACATGGTTTCATGTATCCTAGGCTGGTTTCAAACTTACTACTTAGCCAAGGATGATCTTGAACTCCTGGTCCTCCTGCCTCCACCTCCTAAGTTCTGGGGTTACAGCTATGTACTACCACTTCCAGGCTCAGCTGTGGTGATTTTACCCAACATTTTAAGTTAGATTTATTCATTTTATTTTTTGTGTGTGTTTTCCTGAGTGTGTGTGTGTGTGTGTGTGTGTGTGTGTGTGTGTGTGCATGCATGATGCCTGTGAAAGTCAGGAAGGGCACTGGATTTCCTGGAACGGGAGCTATAGGTGTTGATGAAACACCATGTAGGTGCTGGGAATTGAACCTGGGTCCTCTGCAAGAACACCTGCTCTTAACTGCTCTGCTACCTCTCCAGCCCAGCTGGGCTCTGAGTGCTGCAGGCAACACAACAGAGCTGTGACCATAGGGGGACCTCCGAGACTCCCATGCCCATTAACCCCCAGGAGGGACAGTTCCCACCATGGGCGGAGAGAGGCCTCCAAGAGTTTCTGTTCACACCCAGGCTCTGGAGCTCAAAAGTAGGATGGATGCGACCCCCGGGGCGTGGTCTGACCTTCCGTTTTCCGTAGCACCTCCAGCAGGAAGCTTCCCTCTTCCAGGATCCGCTCCTCGATGCTTCTTTTTCCCATCCCAAAGTTGCGCAGGATTTGAACCGAGAACCTTCTGAGGACCTTCCAGCGCTCTCCATTGGAGAAGGCAATGCCTGGGGAGGGGAAGGAGAATGGCAAACTCAACAGCCAATCAGCCCATCCTGAAAACACAGCTACTGATTGGAATCATCTCTTCCTGATGGCCTGTCGGGTGAGGGTTCAGCCTGGGTGGTGGTGGCACACGCCTTTAGTCCCAGTACTTGAGAGGCAGAGGCAGGAGGATCTTTGTGAGTTCGAGGCCAGCCTGGTCTATAGAACAAGTTCCAGGACAGGCTCCAAAGCTACACAGAGAAACCCTGTCTCGGAAAAAAAAAGTGTTATGCAAAAAAAAAAAAAAGAAAAAAGATTCAGTTTAGAATCTCATCTCTGATTTTTCCATCAAGGCTTTCCTGACCCTCGGGGTTGGGCCAGCTGCCTCCTTTGGGTTCTACAGGGTTCTGGACTTTCCTTATTGGGTCACCTTGCCTCCAGATTCCCCTCTAAAGACCTGGTCCTTTCAGGCTATCAGAAAGGCAGGGTAAAGATCTGTAGTTCGAGCCACTGTGACCTTGGCATTGTCACCAGAACTGCTGATGATTGCTTATCGACAACTGAGTGCACAAATAAGAGAGATGAGCAAGAAAAGTAAATACTAGGACACTGGGAGCTCACCCCAGTGAGACCAGAACAAGCCCTGTCTCTGAGCCTTTGTACAACCCTCTGCAGAAGTCAGTCTCTTCCCTGTTTTTCATTTTTGGTACTAGGATTGATTGAACCAAGGGCTACGCAGATGCCAGGCAAGTACCCTGTCATTGAGCCACATCTCAGACACCCTTTTAACTTTTGTTCTTGACAGTGTCTTCCTATGTAGCCCTGGCTGGACTGAAACTCATCATGTAGACCAGGCTGACCTTGAACTTGCAAAGATGCCTGTGCTTCTGCCCATCAAATGCTGGGATTACAATGATGAAATGCCATGCCTGACTTTTGTTTCTACCTCTACTTTTATTATTATTATTTGTTACATTTATTTATTTTACGTGTGTATGTGTGTGTGTGTGTGTGTGTGTGTGTGTGTGTGTGCACATGTGCCATGAAAGTCAGAGAATAACTTGCAGGAATCAGTTTTTTCCTTCTACCACATGGGCTCCAGGGATTGAACTTAAGTACTTAGGTTTATCAGCAAGCACCGTTACCTCCTGAGCTGTCTCACTGGCCCCACATTATTATTATTACTACTACTACTATTATTACTACTATTACTATTACTTATTAATACCAGCGGTCTCCCCCATCTGTTTATTGAGGCAGTGCCTCTCACTCGAGTCCAGAGTCTGCCAACCCAGTTACAATCACTATCCAGCTCCAGGCATCCAGCTCTGGGGATCTCTGCCTCCCATGTGCTGGGATTGCAAACAATACTATGTCCACTTGGCATTTACGTGAGTGCTGGGGATCCGAACTTCGAACCTCAAGCTTCTGCAGCCAGTGTTTAATCCTCACAGTCATCTCCTCAGCCCTAGAACCCTTTCACCCCATCTTGACCTGACTAGTCATCTTTGTCACTTTAGGTATCAGATAGGAGGGCCTCTGGGGCAGGAATTCCTCCCTGGCTAGGTCAGGCACTTCCTTTGGGGTCCTGCAGCTCCCCAGCCCAGTTCTGACAAGGCTGGGATATCACAGTCTCATGATGGTCTGTGTTTCTCATTGAACTCAGAATCATGGGGTAAAGTCTTTGATTTCTTTAAAGAAAAATGTTGATTCCTTTTGACGTAGTCGAGAATTAGTTATTGAGGAAGAGAGAAGGAGATGAAGGAGGATGAGGACCACCAGGGTAAGGAGATAGATTGGTGGGTAAGCTGCTTGCCACAACAGCATGAAGATCTGAGTTCTATACCTAATACCCATGTTTGCTGGGTGTGACCATGACTGTATTCCCAGTGCAGGGTGATGGAGACAGGTGCAGACAGACCCTATCTCAAAAACCATGCAAACAAACATCCCTTTCCCCAAATAAGATGGAATTTGAGATGGGCAACATGGATGTAGGTCTGCTAGAGATTGGGATTGGGTTGAGGTAGACAGGAGGGGACAAAGGCTACTCGGCTACTTGACTGAATGGAAATTTGATGATGTGATTTAGACAGAGTAAGGTTTGGGGTGAACCAAGGATGGGATCAAGCAGATATGGAGGTTGTTATGGCTGTTCACTTCATGGTGGAAATGGGAGTTGGGGGCGGGATAGATTCCACTCCCCGCTCAGGATCATTTCTGCCTCCTTGATGAGGTCGTTAGTGAGATCTGCAGTTCTGAATGTCATGGAGATGACATCTCTCACCCTTGCTCCCTGCCTAGATCTGCAAAAGTCTAGAGGAGAGAGGAGATGGGGGCAGGCTTACCATCGCCCTTGGTGAAGTTGAAGAAGACCGGGTATGAGCCACGGCCACTGAACTCCTCCCCTTTGTCCACGAGAGCCTCCTTCACAGTTTGGTATCCGCTGAGCACCACCACTCGCCTAGGCCCCAGGTACACGGTGTACACGGACCCATACTTCTTACTGAGCTGGAGGTAGGAGAGAGCATTTACTGGGGGCTTGGTGGTCATGGGGCCTCTTTCCCTCCCCATTGCCCTTTACCAAAGGCGAGTCCCCTGCACCTTGGTGAGTGAGGTCAACAGGTCTTGGGAGCGAAGTTGCAGCAGGTTTCCCAGGATGGGGAGAGGTTTGGGTCCTGGAGGCAGCTGGCCCTTGCCCCATGAGGTGAAGGTCAGGGACAGAGAGATGACAGCCAGGAGAAGAAGCAAGATGGCTGTGCTCACACCATCCATGCTGAAGGCAGCTGCAGTGCCTGTGGGGGGAGGGGGGCAAAGGGAGAGGGTGAGAGAGTGGAAGCCCTCGGTTATATTCTTCTGGAATTTTCCTCTCCTGGGTGCAGACAATAGGGGTAGTGGAGAGAAGGAGACGCAGAGTGAGATCAGAGGGCTAAGAGGGAGAGGAGGAAGGAAGGGAGAAGGGTGTTCAAGGATGCAGACAGATTGCCAAAATGTAAACATGAGAAACGAGGGTGCAGACAGGGGAGACAGATGCTACCTAAGAAACAGAGATGGAGAAATAACAGATAATGGAATGGGAATAAGTGCAATCCATGTCTTATCAGTTTATGTAGCTGTATTATCTATCTATCCACATACAGATAAATAATCTATCTGTCTGTCTGTCTGTCTATCTATCTATCTATCTCTTATCTATCTCTCATCTGTCCATTTTAAACCATCTATCAAAGCACTGGCTCTCACAAAGAGAAATAACAAAAGACAGACAAAAAGACGGGTACAGACAAATTAAGACTTTTCTATAAAAGAAAGAAAGAAGAATAAAGTCAGAGGAGAGAGGCTGACAGACGAGAGAGTGAGTGAGCAAGTGTGTAAGACAGAGAGAAGAAGAGAGATGGAGTTGAAAAGACATACACACACTTTCTTTTGGCTCATTTAGTAAGACAGGGTCTCACTCTCTAGCCATGCTGGCTTCAGATTTATACCAGTCCTCCAGCCCCAGCCTCTTGTGCTGGGATTACAGGCAAGCACTGCTGTCCCTAGCCTAGTTCAGATATGCATACCCAGAAACAGCGACAGGCTAAACACAGTGCCCCATGCCTTCAATCCAGCACTAGGAAGACCACTAAAGGTTTAAAGCTTGCCTTATCTAATACAGTGGGTTTTCAGTCAGCCAAGGATTATGCATCAAAACCTTGTCTCAAACAAAACAACCCCTTCAAATAAAAACAACAACAAAAACAAAATTAGCTCAAATCAAACCAGACAATAACCAAAAAAAAAAAAAAAAACAAAAAACAAAAAATCAAACCAAAACTACCCAGAGATAGATACTACAAAATAAAGGCTCCTAAAAGACATACATTAAAACCACACACATGATATTGCTATTTGTCATGTTAAGAAGAAAAAAAATGAATAAAAAGGAGGGACTGAGGGGAGGTTGAGAGCCTGAGAGCCTAGCTCCTCACAGGGCGGAGGGAGGAGAGATGGAATGGTAGACAACCTGAGACAGACACCAAAGTCCCAGAAGAGTTCCTCCGAGATGAAGTCAGTGCCCTCTCTTGGGAGCTACCCCTCACCTGTGTCCCAGTATTCTGCAAGAATGTTCTGGAGCTCTTGTGTGTGCTGGGGTATGGGGAGGGGGGCGCCTGCTCTTAATTTGTCCTTTTCCACGCCTCTCCTCTGCCCTGCCCCCTTGCCTGGTTCCTCCAGTGTACTTAGTCCCCTCCTACCAGCCCGGCATACCTTTCCTGTAGACCCTGGGCTCTCAGCCAGCTGGCATGGTGGGGCAAGTGGGGGCCACACCTCTAGAGCCCTCTGTTCTTGACTGGGGCCTCCTGACCCAAAGGCTGACCTTAAATCTCCTCGCTGTGGTCGGTGCTTGGTATTTGCCTTGGAATAGGGCAAAGGCTTCTCAACTCTGGGCCTGGTTCTCAAGGAAGAGGAGGTGGGGTTATGGGGTGTTGGCCAAGCAAATAATGGGCCAGGGAGGAAGTGTTGAAGATCCAGTCCTGGACCGAGTCCTGTTTTGGGCCTCTTCTGTTCTATGTTTGTAGGTTCAAGTCCAGTTTTGCCACTCTAGCCAAGGGACCTTGTGTTAGGCCGGTTCCCTCCCCATAGAGTTCTCATTTCCCTGGACCCTCCTTGACTTCTCCTTGTCTTGTGGTCCGTCTCTAGAATTCGCTATGAATTTTCCTCTGTCTCTCTTGGTCTCACAACAGAGGATCCTGAAAGACATGTATTAAGATGACACACATGATATCGCTGTCTGTCAAGTTTAAAAACATTAAATAGAGACTAACAGCAGAGAAAAGATGGGTCCATTGAAGCCAAGGGTCTGGGAAACCCTCGGAAGTTCACTCAATTTTGTTGTACTTGGGGGGGGGGGGAAGAGCAAGCGCTCAGAGGCTCCCTTTCTCTTTAAGATTTATTTTTAAATTTTAATGATGCATATGGATGTGGTCTGTGCAAGTGAGTGAAGTTGCCTGCAGAAGTCAGAAGGCATTGGATCCCTTGGAGCTGGAATTATAGGCAGTTGTGAGCCACCAGATATGAGTGTTGGAACCAAACTGGACCCTCTGTAAGAGTGGTCCAGGCTCTTAACCGCCAAACTGCCTCTCTAGCCTGTCTCTGCCTCTCTAGCCTGTCTCTTTTTTAGAGACAGAGTCCCATGCAGCCCAGAATGTCTTAGAACTTGCCATGTAGCCAAGGGTGACCTTGAACTCTGAATCTTTCAGCTCCCACCTCTGAGCTGATGGTACTACAAACATGTACATCCACATCCTGTTATTTGTGGGTGCTGAAGATAGAACCCATGCTTGCTGCATGCCAGACACTCTACTGACAGAGCCAAGTCCCCAGCCCTGCCTTTCTTTCTCTCTCTCTCTCTGTTTCTTCTAGGTTGCTGCCTCTTCTCATTTCTCTCTTTCTGTTTGGCTCATGCTTCTGTGACTGTGAACACAGTTGGCTGAGGATGAAGGAGAGTTAGGGAGAAAGGCTGGGCCCCAGAAAAAGGACTCAAATCCTGCTCTCCCTCCCTATCTTATATAAGGTCCTCTTTCAACTCTCTTGAGTCCCCCCCCCACCCCCACTACCCATGTCTGTTCTTGGCTCTCAATTTGGAAACTGGTCCAAATTTCTCAACTTCTGTCCAGGTCAGAAAAAGAGCGTGTTAAAGCCAACACTGGAGCAGGCAAGGGAGAGGTGTACTGCAGCCAACGGTCTGGGAAGCCCTTGGAAGCACACCCAGCTTTGCTGTCCTTGTGGGAGGTGAGAGAGGAGGCAATTCAATCCCTCAGGTCTCAGGCACATGGTGAGATGGAGGTGGGGTAGATGGTATTGTTGCTACCCTAGAAAGGCTGGTTAGGGCAGGTTCTGGGAGATGGGTGAAAACTTCCTTGTGGGATTATAGGCCTCCTGTTTCCCATGGCATCAGGGTGGGGGTGGGGGAGGGTACAGTGCTGAATCCACTCCAGTCCCTTGACTCTGAAACTGGTTTGAGAGGCATCTTGAGTGATGGCCTCACAGAGGGAATCCAGGGTTCATGAAGGATTGTTTTCAGGGACTTTTGTTCTTCTTGTGTTCTGATTTGCCAGCCTGCTCCAAATGCAACTTGGATACAAGGAGAAATATACTTTAGTCTCTGAACTTGGCACTGTTAATGTTTTGGGGCTACTAATTCATGTGGAAGGCTGTGCCGTGTGCGGTAAGAGTCTAGGTTTTTAGATGTCGAATTCATTTCTCCTTTCGTCCAATCGTGATAGCACCAAGTGGCCTTTGTTTGCTTTTTTTTTTGTTTGTTTAGTTTTTGTATTTTTGAGACAGGGTTTCTCTGTAGCTTTGAAGCCTGTCCTGGAACTTGCTTTGTAGACCAAGCTAGCCTTGAACTCACAGAGATCTGCTTGTCTCTGCCTCCCTAGTGCTGGGATAAAAGGGGTGCACTGCCACCAACACCCAGATTTGTTTGTTTGCCTTTGTTCTAAATATTCTTTTTAGACTTATTCTATTTTATACATATGAATGTTTTGTCTGTTTGTATTTCTGTGTACCACATGCACGCCTGATGTCTGAGGAGGTCAGAAGAGAGTGTTGGAACCCCTAGAACTAGAGTTATGGATGGTTGTCAGCAGCATGTGAGTGTTGGGAACTAAATCAAATCTATAAAAGCAGTCTTTATAGCCCCAGGTATATCCCTTTTCTTTTATAAAGATTTATTTTATAAAGATATATATTTATTTATCTTATAAATAAATGTGTGTGTGTATTCTATCTGCATGTACACTTTTATCCCAGGAGAGGACAGCAAATCCCACTAGAGATGGTTGTGAGCCACTACATCGTTTCTACATCATTTCTGGGAATTGAACTCAGGACCTCTGGAAGAGGAGTTAGTGCTCTTAACCACTGAGCCGTCTCTTCTCTTGATGTTGAAACTCAAACACAAGGCCTTGTGTACGCTAGCCAAGAACTCTACTGAACAGAGAGCATGCCCCCAGCCCCTCACTGGGGGTTCTAGGAAAATACTCTACCAATAAGCTATGCATCCATCCTATCACTGGTGGATTAGACTTATTCTTGTATTTTTAAGACTTTGAGGTGCATTGTTAGGTTATTTATTTAAGAGCTCATAAATATTTATTTGTTTGAAATAGGGTCTTACAGTGTAGCCCTGGCTAGCCTTGAATTCACAGAGATCTGTTTCTCTCTGCCTTCCATGTGCTGGAATTGAAGGTGTGCACCACTTGGCCTAGTGATTTGGCCTTAGCAATATTTATTTTATTATTTTTAATTGTGTGTGTGTGTGTGTGTGTGTGTGTGTGTATGTGTGTGTGTGTCTATGTTTGTATATGTACATGAATCCCAGAGGCCAGAGGCATCAGATTTCCTGGAGCTGAGTTACAGGTGGTTGTCAGCTGCTTGTTGTGTGTGCTGGTCACCATACTTGGGTCTTCTACAATAGAAGGTTTTTTTCCTAATTAAA